GTTGCCAAAAAATTTTCCCGACTAAATATTTTGGTCGCCGGATTTGTCATGAGAAGATTATCGGGGAAGGTATTTGCGACTAAAAAATATTTAGTTGCCAAAAGTAAAGGTATTGGCGACAAAAATAATCTTTAATCACTGATGAGGCTAAATTGGCGATTAATCTGTTAGTCACCAAAATTTTACAATTTAATTTAAATAACATTTTCAGCTACTAAAATTTTTGTCGCCAAAACTTGAAGTATCTACAGTGACCAAAATATTGGTCGCTAATATTTCTTTTTTTGTGCATCTAATTTTTTTTAGCTACTAAATGTTTAGTCGCCTAAAGTCTTTTTTTTTTAAGCTACTAAGGTTTTAGCCACCAAAAGTGGTTTTTCCTTTTTTTGGCTACGAAACATTTAGTTGCCAAAAGATTTAATTCTTTTTAGCTACTAACTATTTAGTCACTAAAAATATATAACTCCATTTTTGGCTACCAATTGTTTAGTCACCAAAAACATCATTTTATGTTTTGTTTTTTGTTTTTTTGTTCAATTAATTTGTCTACAACCTGTATGCATCCACCACAACCTATAACAGGTATAAAAACAAAACAAAATATATATATATATATATATATTACCATCCATTCCATAACACATATTTCACTTACAACCATCAAACAAAAAAGAATAACTTATAATTTCAACTTCTATACAAACCAAGTATATATTCCAATTGGAAATAATAACTTCATACATAACAAATAAGCATACAAAAACAATGTCATCGTTATACAAAAATATATGTACTATGCGAAATGGCCATTTGGCATGGTACAAATTACCATGGTAATCTGTACCACGACGAAACGTAATCTATAAGCCATGGCAATAAATACAAGTTCGATGTCAAAAGTATTATGTACCTCACCAAAAGTTATATGTACAATTCATCTAAATTCCACACAAAAAGTAGAGGACGACAAAAAAGTGGGACAGTTCAAAAGTGTAAATTATCCTCTATACACAAAAATAGAAGATCCACATGTCTATGCCAAAAGCCATCTACAAAACAAAAATTGCACCCATTAGTTCCATATAGCATGCGAACATAATTTCTATGCCAAAAAAAGTTATTAGATCTGTAAAAGGATTTTTTATTATTATTTTTTTTGGCTAAGGTGTATATATAGTTTCATCCCTATAGTCACAATATTTTGAAAATGAAATTAACATTACTGAAATATTAAGAACCTAAATAACGCAAAGTGCTTGGGAGTACAAGTCCAATTAGCCTCTAAAAAAATGACAACCAATGTAAGGTCGTGCAGCATATATATCCAGCAGCAATGAGGAAAAATTTAACCCTTAAAAAATTACAATTAACGTAAGGTTGTGCAGCATATTCAACAGTAATGAGAAAAAATTTAGCTCCTAAAAAATGACAATTATGTAAGGTTGTGCAACATATTCAGCAGTTATGAGAAAAAAATTTAGCCCCTAAAAATTGACAATCAATGTAAGGTTGTGCGGCATATTCAGCAGTAATGACATAAAATTTCTTTGTAAAACAACTTGGCAATGCTTATTTGTCAAACCAGAATGTGATTAAAGGTCAAGCTTAAGGTTAAATTAGGCCTATAGATCAGGTATGTTTCTCTTCAGTTTGGTTCTTTATGACCCTGTTTGGTTGTCTCATTTAGCAGAAATGTCATGTTGTTGAGTAAATTTTTGCAATGTACTAAGAGATCATTGAAATGGTTTTGCCTATTGCATATAAGCTATGACAATGCAATAAATTAGGCCATTGATTAGTCAATCCAAACCACCTAGAATCTTATAAATGGACCTATCTATATGATCATTCTCATCATTGAAATGGTTCGGGGGCTACTTTGCATTTTCGCCCCCCAAATAGCTTTTTTTGACTAAGTTTAAGTTGGTTTTCACTCAAACTCCCAACTACGAGTGTTAATTAAATCTCGTCTGTCCCCATAAGTCATATTTGTCATGAGGAAGCTACCCGTGACATCCATAGAGGGCTTCGGGGGCTGCTTTGCTTTTTCGGCCTGAACAACATTTTTCGACTAAGTTTATGACGTTTTTCACGCCAACTCCCAACCTACATGTGATAATTACATCTCGTCTGTCCCCATAGGTCCTATTTGTCACAAGGAAGTTACATGTGACATCCATAGAGGGGTTTGGGGGCTACTTTGCATTTTCGCCCCCAAACGGTCTTTTTCGACTAAGTTTACGGTTTCACGCCAACTCCCAACCTATGTGTGATAATTATATCCCGTCTGTCCCCACAGGTCCTATTTGTCACAAGGAAGCTACCCGTGACATCCATAGAGAGGTTCGAAGGCTGCTTTGCATTTTCGGCCCCGAACGGCCTTTTTCGACTAAGTTTACGGCATTTTCCACGCCAACTCCCAACCTGTGTGTGCTAATTACATCTCATATGTTCCCACAAGTCCTATTTGTCATGATGAAGCTACCTATGACATCCATAGAGTGATTCAGGGGTTGATTTTCATTTTCTCCCTCGAATAACCTTTTTCGACTAAGTTTAAGTTTTTTTTTTCCACTCTAACTCCCAACCTACGTGTGCTAATTACATCCCCGTCTTTTCCCACAAGTCGTTTTTGTCATGATAAAATTACCCGTTACATCTAAAGAACCTCCTAACATGAAATTGTTAGTGTGTTATATTGATGCCCTTTACAGCAGATTTTTCACTTGCAGCAACCAAAACTTGCACAGCATGAGTCAAACGACTATGTAAAGGTCAGGTATCAGCCATTGTGTTATAGGTTCACAATTGGCCGATGCAGGGATCTTATCACACTGATCAGCAGTGAAAATCTCAGGTTATGCTTGGTGATGAATAGTTGAGTGGTCCTATGCAGGGTATGTGTGTGTGTGGAAATCTGCCCCTCTTAGGACAGGTTGGATTGCCATATCCAACCATCACTCCATCCCCCGTCCAAAGGAAAAAAGAAGAAGAGGAGAACAACAACTACAACTGAAACAATTTTCTTAATAAGAGCCAACATCTGGAATAAATTAAATGCAATAGACTTTTCCTTTAGCATTTCTATTTAACATATAGAAATAAATTAAGAGCCAACATATTTCTATTTAACATATATACACAATTTAGGTCAAGTGATTGCGGTTCCAAACAAACTGGTCTTTGGCCCATTCAAACTTTCATTTATGTCAAAACGGCCTCTGGCCCATTCATTCGTTCATGTCGAAACGGCCTCTGGCCCATTCATTCATTCGTGTCGAAACGGCCTTTGGCCCATTCATTCATTCATGTCGAAACAGCCTCCGGCCCATTCATTCGTGTCAAAACGGCCTCCGGCCCATTCATTCATGTCAAAACGGCTTTTGGCCCATCCATTCATGTCAAAACGGCCTCTGGCCCATCTATTTGTGTCAAAACGGCCTCTGGCCCATCCATTCATGCCAAACAGCCTCTAGCCCATTCATTCTATTATCCAGATCAGATTGGCCTCTGGCCCACTCATTTGGTATAGCAAACATTGTCCACTAATCGAATCAATGAACTTATGAAACTTGCATAGAAGTAAGCAATTGGACAACAGCATATTTCAGATATCTCTGTTAAGATATTACTCACAGTAATGGGTTGGTTGGTTTGCCCTAGAGCTCAACCCTACACATTCCATGAACACAAAAGGGTCACAAACAATTCGATCCGTTCTTAATCCACATATTCCTCTTTAGGCTTCATTCTTATCTCTTTAACTCATTTATAATGCTCAATGTATGCCTAAGAGCGCTTGCAAGCGAAAGAGAACGGAAAACGGAACATAGGATACATTTTCAAAATTTCAGAAAGTAGGGTCCCCACTAGAGCGTGGACTTCCCCGCTCGAGCGGACCCATGAGGTCTGCAAAAGTGCTGGATGCATCAAAATTATGCTCGAGCGTGAAGTCTGGCGCTTGAGCTGAAGGTCTGTCTACATAGCTCCCCGCTCGAGCGTGAACTTCCCTGCTCGAGCAGACATCCAAGTCTGCAAAAATATTGGGAGCACGAAATTCATGCTCGAGCGGCGGTTTCCCCACTCGAGTGGACATCAAAATTCTGGATTACCCAAAATTCTGGACATCAAAATTCAAAGGTTCCAAATGCATGATTTTGGCTCAAACTTCACATGTACATGTACTAATCATGGTACAAACACCAAATTACATCATCATGAAGCTCAATTTCATGAATCAAGCACATGCATGTCCTAATTTACACCAAACTTGCTATTATGATAACAACTCCATGTATTTTCAAATTCATTTCTCATAAATTGTACATGCATGTGGGATATCACTCCCATTTCAACTTACATGGTGCAAATGGTGATTACAAACATGAGCTTTAACCAACATTCTACATGGATCATGTATTTTGTGTTCAAACATGTAAATTTTAAAGCAATTACACACATGCATGCATGCATTGACCTTCAATTCAACATGACCAACCCAATTTCATGTCAAACTTACTCTTGATTACCCAACTACCTTGAATACACAAAATTACAAACTAGAACTCAGCTTTAATCTTCACAATTTATGGCCAACTCTTGCACCTAGCCTTCCCAATTCACAATTCATAAGCAAAAGTACACCAAGATGCCTTTTTTCTCTCTCAAGGTCGGCTCTCTCTCTTTCTTGAGTTCAAAATCAATCAAATGAAGCTAAAGAGAGAATTTGAGTGAAAGTGGCCCACTAAATAAGCTCGTCTAATCAAAATTCCTAATATTTAAATAATTGAGCACTACCCCATTAATTTAATCCATTTAATTTGATCCGAATCAATTTTCAATTAAACTTCACCGTAGGCTCTAAAAATTATGCCAACCACAATGGCGTAATCAATTTCAGTTTTTGTGGCCGATAGGGCCTTCAATTTAATTTCCAAAGCAGACAATCAAACAGATATTCCTACGGTGAACAGATGAAAATTCAAAACTACATATTTTCACATAATAGCACACAAAATCATATTAAACACATGATCATATTCATGTTAAGGACCAATTAACATATTACAGAACAGGGATATCACAGTAGTGGTGTCTAGGAAGACCATTTCATTCCATTCCATCTCATTCTAAGCAACCAAATAGAGCAATATTAAAGCATGCAATTAGCAGGTTTAGCTCTAATGCAAAAAAGATAACCCTGACATAAAGTCAACAAAGTGAACTACATCATAGGTTGCAACTTGAATGATGCAGTAACAGTTGCACTTGGGAAACACAATTCTCTGCTTCCTTTGAGGCAAGTTGGGTGTACAAATTGCTAAAATGGAGCAGACAACAAAAAGTACCTTAACGAGCTTCAACTTCAATAGTCCAATGATTAAGCAGTAGGTTTATCTGAATCCCTTGCTTAGACGTTAGAATGAGATTAGGTGTTTGAAATGTAAGACCATGTCTTTTCATCACCAAATGAGGTTTATTAAATTATTATCTTCTATGACCTGAGTTTACAGTTGTGGAAACATGCAAGTTGTAAAAAAATGACCATGATAAAGCATGCAATACATCTTTCCTATTTGCTTGGCATGAGCTATAGAACAAGTTAAGGTAAAATAGAACAAGGAAGAGGACATACATGACAGGTATGATGCCATGAGAAAAGATTGCAGACTCTGACTTAATACAAGACATGCTATATAGTGAAAAATGAAATATAAGTTATATGACCAATTTAAAGCATAAAAAAGTAAAAAGGCTTTGTGCAATTAACTGGTGTTTCTTAATTAGACTTCAAAGGTCCCATGAACAGTAGTAAGTTAATTGAACTTTACAGTAAAAGGCCACTACCTAGAATAATTGTGGGAATCTCCAATTGTCTAGAATGGTCCCCAGTCTGAATCATCAAGCTTTTACAAGTCTAAGGTAAGGATCTTAGGAGATCCATAGTTGATGTTAATTAACTATACCTTCTTTTTTCCCTGATTATTCTTCTTAATTTATAGTTTTACCTATCTGCCTTCTCTTACGTTGCAGACCAAATACTCTCCATACAAAATAAATGTAAAAAACAAAAAACAAACAAAAAAACACGATAACCTTAATGAACCAACACCAATCTCTAGTCAACATCCAATCCATTATAACTTTAGTGAGAGCAGCACATGAAAGAACAGAAGATGATAGATAAAAGAAATATTTGCCAGATTAAGGAGACGGCAGCTTCTGGAGTACTAGTCCAGTTTCATGAGTTGAACTCCCAACATTATTTAGGAACACAACCATTTAATAACAAGAATACAAAAATAATAGGAATTAAAGGGGTAGTAGAGTATTAATAAAACAAACATTTGACTAATTGTCTACCCAGAAGAAAAGTGCAAAGGAGAAGAATATAATAATCATAAACAAACAAGCCCTCTTAACCAAAAGCTTACAAATAAAGCTTGTAGCAAATTGACTATAAGAAGGCCTAACAAATAAAGCTTACAAATTGGACAATAATAATTATCAACAAGTATCTATGATGTTAATTGCTTGACCATATTCAGAGCATATTTGGCTATATTAGTAATGTCATTCAATTGGATGGGGCTCCTAATTTAGTGACTTACCTCATATTCATAAGTTCATCCTACTCAATTCTGGGAAAGTGTATATTTCATTGAAATCATGTGGTTACCTTATGGAAATCAAAATAAAGTCCTTTGCAGTATCAAAACACCAGGTCCTTTGTTGCTAAGTCTACTAACATTACACCTCAAAACCTATTTGAAGCACAAAAAAATAAAATAAAATAAAATAAAATAACGAACAAAACCTATAATCAACATTGTAATAGGTTTGAATAGGAACCTTAGAAAACAATTCTACGTTCATCGTACAATATTAATGTCAATATGATGAATTTTTTGTAGAACTTTTAGTGCCATATCAATAAACTTCTTCTTACCTTTTAGTAGGATAACCATCTGAACCCTGCAAGAGGGTTGTGAGCCGTGAGTGACTGTATTTCCTCATGTGTGAGTATGACTACTACCTCTCTTGTAGTTGAAAAGGAAGATAAATGGAAAAAATGCTTCCAAAAATGATTAAGCAGTTAAAAAGGAGATGTTAACTTTTCGGGAACTATACATAGTAAGAAATTTGTCTCTGTGTTGAAAAGGAGCAAACATGGCTATTGGTCCAAATTAAACATGGTAATCCGTGTGACATTTTCAGCATGCTTCGTATTCTGTTGGGACTTTTGCAGTGCACCATAGGCAATATCAAAGGAGACTTAAAAGCCATAAAGCTAAAGATGTTAGTTGAAAAACAAATTAATTTTGTGTGCCCACTTCTTGTTTTATATCCTATTAAAAAAACATAAGCACAATTGCCCTAAATTCGTGTGTGTTCATGAAATAACTTGAGTTTAGAAAAAAAAAAATTAGAACTACTTGGCATTAAGATTTTTGTTCTAAAACAATTTGCAATTGGTAAAAAAAACAAAATTACATGTCAAGCCTAAATAAACAAAATTACATAATTAGCTATTAAAATTAAGAAATCCTCAAATCAAGCCTAAATAAAACAAATCAAATCTCATTCTTCCAACCACATGTCACAAAGGTGCAATGAATGCTAAGTTTCAACAATAAGCTCTGCACATACTACCTTCGTCCATGTAATTCTTCCGCAAGTTTTTATGCACTTGTTCAGCCTATTTTAGTGTTTCTAATAGTGTATCAGTGTCTTAGGTGTGTTTCTAATAGCATATCAGGTCTTAGGCTGCTTAGGACTCCTCTATAAGCCTCTCATGACTTCTCAAGACTACAAATTTCTCTCTTGAGGCTCCCAAATGCTTTATCTTTGCTACAACCTAGATGTTAAGGCTTGAATAACTTTCTATTTTTGAAATTTATTCAAGTAACCTGTATCAAGGTTTTTTTGGCCCTTACAATGTATAAATTCACACTTAAGGCTCAAATGCCTCACTTTTAGCCCACTCTAGTTGTCTTCATCTAAGACCAATGCAACTTATTTCAGCCTTACTCAGTATTCAAGGACAGAATCAAAATTCATACACAGAGGAGGCCAAGGCCAGGCACATATATATATGTGTTAGACTAAGCAATGGTGGTGTTAAACTATTAATTTTTTGTTTGAGCAACTCTCAATAGGGCATGTTTGGTTGTCAAATCATTTTTTTTTAAAAATTAAATATAAACAAAATTATTGATTAGGATTGATATTTGCAGTGCTAGTGCCTTGGCAAGGACCATAATTTCATACAAATCAAACACAATAACCCATAATTTTGGACATCAAGAATAAACCCATTTTGGACATCAAGAATAACATAATTTCATACAAATCAAACACAAAGTACCCATAATTTCACAAAACTAAAATCAAACCCACAAAACTAAAATCAAACTCATTTTGGACATCAAGAATAACATAATTTCATACAAATCAAACACTTCAACCAAACCTATTTACGAAATCAACACAAAATTAAACTATAAAAATCATATAAACCCTAGATGAAGTGTGAGAGATGGGAAATACGGGAAGGGAGAGAGAGAGAGAGAGATGGATCGAGAGAGACAAACCCAGATCGACAGAGAGGGAGAGGACCGGGAGTGACAGAGATAGAGGGACAAAAACCTATTATTTGCGGTAGTGGCGGTGGTGATTTCCAGCGGTGGCGGTGGTGATGTGCGACGGTGGAGAGGAACGGTGGCCAGCAACGTGCAACTGGATATCGAGTATAATGCAGCCCATAATCTCGAGTGTAGCGTAAATACCTTAACACCCTCACAATGCCCTTCCAATGAGAATTATCGGGATTACTTGTGTATCTACTAAGCCTGCTAATCGAGTAAGCTATATCTGGCCTAGTACAACTCATCAGATACATTAAACTTCCAATTACCCGAGAATATTCTAACTGAGAGACACTCTCTTTATTATTCTTGGTAAAGTGTAGACTTAAGTCTACCGGTGTCGATGACACACTCGTATCTGATCCATTAAACTTCTCAAGTATCTTATCAACATAATGAGACTGAGAAAGTACAATTCCGCCAGAGATTCTGGTAATATTAATTCCCAAAATAACATCTGCAATGCCCATATCCTTCATGTCAAATTTAGAGTTTAACAACTTCTTGGTAGTTTTGATCATTTCATCGTTACTACCTATAATGAGCATATCATCAACATATAGACACAAAATGACATAACCTCCGTCAGTGTCTTTGACGTAAATACACTTGTCAAATTCGTTGATTCGAAACCCATTTGACAACATTACATTGTCAAACTTCTCATGCCATTGTTTAGGCGCTTGCTTCAAACCATACAAAGATTTGACAAGTTTACAAACTTTCTTGCTTTGTCCTGGAGCTGAAAACCCTTCAGGTTGCTCCATGTAGATTTCTTCATTCAAATCCCCATTTAAGAAAGTTGTCTTTACATCCATCTGGTGTATCTCAAGATTGTGCAAAGCTGCTATCGCAATCACTATGCGAATGGATGTTATCCTATTTACAGGTGAGTACGTATCAAAGTAATCCAGGCCTTCTCGTTACCTGCACCCTTTGATAACTTGCCTCGCCTTATGCTAGTCAATAGACCCATCGACCTTCATCTTTCGTTTAAAAATCCATTTGCAGCCTAAAGGCTTACAACTTGGAGGTAAATCTACCAACTCCCAGGTTTGGTTCTGTAAGATGGAGTCAATCTCACTTTTGATCGCTTCTTTCCATAAAGGACTCTCAGAAGAAGTCACAGCTTCGTGGAAAGTTTGAGGTTCGTTCTTGTCACGACCCAAACCCGGCCCTATGGGTTTAGCACCGTAACCGGCCAGTAATCCGAGATTACCGAAGGCCTGCTTAACAGTAGTATAGTAAAACAGAGTACAGGGCCTGGCGGAAGCCAAAACAGTAAAGAAATGATGCCCAATGAGCTGTGACAGTCTGCATGCAAAAAGACTTTCCAAACATATTTACATTCAGTGGAAAGGTATACACAATATATACAATCATTCAGAATAAGGACTCAATCCCTATACAACGGTACAGTAAACATTCAGTCTATACAATCCATTCGGTTATTACAAAACAGCAAGCAAGTACAGAAGGGGGAGCCCTAAAACACCCCTAAGACTTAGCATGATAGGCTTGGAACCTCGCAGTGAGGCACGGTAGTTGGCTTGACAAAACTGGAGTAACCCTGACGCTCCTAGCCGCGGTCCGGTGCCTGAACACCTACATATATATATATGAGCACTGAGCTAAAGCCCAGTGAATAGCATAATGCGTAAAGAGGTTAAGAATGAATATCCTTACAGTAATGAAAGTAGTTCATTAAATCAGTATTTCAGTCGTTCAGTCAGTACAGTCATATGTGGTACATCCATTAGCATAACAGTACAGTAAACAGTAGGTCTTAAAAGACCAAGCAGTAAATGATGGCCATCAGTCAGTAACAATAGTGGTTCCAACAAGGGAACCGACAGAGATCTCTGTAACAGTAACAGTAAACAGTAGGTGCTAAGGATGCCACAATACAGTTCAGAATATAGGACATACATTCATTCAGTTAACAGTAATCAGTTCAGAAAACAGTACAGTTCAGTTGTTCAGAAGATAATCATTTGTGAACATATCTTTACACAATCGTTACTCACAGAGTTTGGGCTACAGTATGCTAAAGCATGTCTCCCAGTCGCCAACCCTACACAGTTAACAGATTGAACACACACTAAGCTACACAGTCGGAAGAGATAATAATTTAATCCCTAATTTGCCTCGGTGTGTTCTACATCTATGTCCTCATTAAGATGCTTTAAACTATGCCTAAGAATGCCTAGGATGAGATGAGGATGCAAAGATGTGGTCAGAAAACAGTTTCAGGAGTTTTCAGAAAAACAGAGTCCCGCTCGAGCGGTCATGCAACAAAGGTACATGCTCGAGCGTCAAATATCCCGCTCGAGCGTACTGTAAAAGTATTGGATGGGTGAAATCTCCGCTCGACGCCCGCTCGAGCTTGAGACACATGACTCCGCTCGAGCGCCCAATCCTCCGCTCGAGCGGACTGTAAAACAGTGCAGAGATACAGGATGCTCGGATTTCCCGCTTGAGCGTCACTATCCCCCGCTCGAGCGGAAGTGCAGAATCTGGAAAACCCAGATTGCACCTCCAAGCTCAAACCAAGTTTTAAAAACTCGACCTCTTGGGCTGAATTTCCAGAAAACATTTGTAAACACATAGAATAACATGGTTCAAAGCTCAATTTTGAGAAATCAAAGCCCAAGGGTGTTTAATTCAAACCCAATTTCAAACCAATTTCATGAACGTGGAGAACATGAAAACATGCAAGAATTCAAATCAATTCAAAGCTTCAATTTGATGCTCTAAGGAGCCAATTGTTTCCAAAACATGATGAAATCATGGACTTAAACATAATTGTGAACATGCATGTAACATTTTGCCATGAAAACAAATCAACATCTACAATACAACCATGCATACGAGGATTGAGCTTCAATTCAACAACAATGAACCAAAACATGACTTAGTTCTACAATGAAGCATGAATCATGCAAGAACAAGCTTAATTCACAAACGAGAGGGTAATTACTCTACCTTAGGTCTTGAATTAGAAGACTAGGAGCTCAATTTAGCAATCTACACTTCAATTAGCAAGCAAAACTCAAGATGGAATCCAATTTCTCTCACTCTCTCCCTCTCTTCTCTCTTGGTCGGCTATGGCAAGGAGAAAGGCTGAGCAAATGTGTTATGTGGTCAAGTGTAAGGCTCAAATATGTTATATTGAGTGGCCACTAAGTGGTCTAATGGTAATTAAGTCAAACTTTGCAATTAACCCAATATTTAATCTAATTTAATTATACCTAATCAGTTTTCAGATAAATACACTATAAAATCACGTTAATTCTAAGGGTCGTAGAACATCGATCAATTCCGGATTCGGCCGCCGATAGGGCCTTCAATTAGCAGTTTAAACATAAAACATGAACAGATCAAATAAACAATCAAACAGATAGAATACCGATTAACATACATACTCAGTCAATTCAGTTCCAGTTTTCAGTCAGTTAGTTCAGTACTTTAATCAGTTCAATTATCAGTCATAATCAGTTCAGTTTGACGGTAATCAATGTTTATCGGTAAGCAGTGGTGAGGGTTATTACAGTTCTCAACCATATAAGTCAAGAAGTCTGGACCAAAAGATTTGGATGTCCTAGCCCTTTTACTCCGTCTGGGCTCATCTAAAACCTCAATTTGATCATCACCTGGATCATCAACATGATCATCCTCACTAGCAAGCTCATCAAATTGCTCCAAAGACCTTGCAACCCCTGCATGGGTTCGGCAAGGAAAAATGTCTTTAAAGAAACATGCATTCCTTGACTCCGTAATGGTATTCCTGTGTATGTCTGAAATTTTAGACTTATGAACAAGAAACCGATATGCACTACTATTATGTGCATAACCAATGAATATACAATCCACAGATTTCGAGCCTATCCTAACCCGTTAGGGTGTAGGAATCGCCACTATTACAAGACACCCCCACATTCGTAAGAATTTATAAGAAGGCTTAACGCCTTTCCATAACTCATACGGGATCTTGTCCACTTCGCTTCAACACAAGTTTCACACTTGTGTTTCGTCAGAACAACCTTGTCGGACTCAAAAAAACCATGCGAAAAACATGTTTACTAAGAAGAGACCTTGAGATAAGATTCTAACGAATGTTCGGAACATACAGGACTTCGTTCAAGGTTAGCTCTTTTCCTGAGGTTAACATCAGGACCACCTTTCCCTCAACAAATGAGGTAGTAGAGTTTCCCATGAACAATTTCTCACCGTTTGTAACCGGTTTGAAAGTTGTAAACAGCTCCTTCTCGGAGCAGATGTGGCGTGTAGCCCTAGTAAAACTAAAAGCCTCGCTACCACAGTTGTAGCACTTCCCAAAGAACCGAGAACCAGGTTCCCGCGGCTTGTATGCCAGCTTCTTTGCAACACCACACCTTGGCCCCAGCTTAGAGCTCTTGTTCACAGGGGGCTTCTTCCTTATCCCAGAAGATTTGCCATGCTCAACGACATTGGCCTTTACTGAGGAGGTACTCCCTCCTTTCTTTCTATTATCCTCCTCATTACGGAGTCGGACAACCAGCTCTTCAACTGACATTTCCTTGCACTTGTGCTTTAAATAATTCTTAAAATTCTTTCAACCATTAACAATATGTCGCTATTATAGAAAAACATGTTGCTATTGTGGAACTAATATAACGCTATGTTTATATTTTTATGAAATTAAAGTGTTATATATATATATTTTTTTGTTATTTAATTATGTGAATCCGTAGTCCTAAACCGATTCAATCCGTATTTAAATGGATTGGTTCGGATTGGTTCCATGATTTAAACGGATTGGATTGGTTCCAATTTTTCAAGAACAGTAAATAACGGATTGGTCCTGGTTTACCCCAATTCGGTCCAATCCGGATCATGCTCACCCCTACTTTGGCCACTGCCACCACCTAGCAAATAACAACCAAAAAAAAAAGAATTATAATAATAAAAAAGGACAATTACAAAAAAAATAAAAATAAAAATTTGAGCCATTTAACAAAATAAACTCTAAATTTTTAATTTTGTCAATTTAAATCATAATCTTTTGCTTTATTTTTAATTTAAACCATTTGCTTATTTTTGTTAAGTAA